ATTTTAATTTACCTTTAATGACGCGCGATTAACGCTTAATTGTTTTTTAATGGGATTTTGATATCAAATTTCATTCATTGTTCTAAAGTTGTAGTGCATGGATTTTACTTCGGTAAAGTTATTTAAAGCTACTTTCTGATATCAAAAACGACCTCCAATAGTTTTTTAATTTTTTTAATTAATATATTTTATTATATATAAGTTTAATTAAATCGGGGAGTCGGAAATCGCAATTAAAATTTTAATTTTTTAAAAATATTTAAAAATATACCAGCAGCTAGTATTCACCCTACTTTAAACCCTTGTCCTCCCGAGACGTCTATGAGAATGTCCCGGGAAATCCGACACCAGATGTTCTCAAGGTCATCCAGCTGTGTAAACAATGACTCATCAGTGTCAAATTTTGCAGAAAGGCCAGACCATGGAAAATAAAGTTTGAAGCTTTTTCTTCAAAATTAACAATTTCTTTCGTTTTTTTTCAGTTTTAAATATTTTTTATGTTTAATTAAAAATTCCTTTAAAAACATTCGTATGGCAAGTGGTTAATGGAATATTCATTCTTGTCCATTTTTTTTACTCTGTATGAACTAAGTTTAAAATGAAGATATTAAAAATTATTTTCTATTTAATTTTTATTATTACATTATTATTATGTTAACAATAGTTGGTAAATAGAATAAAAAATAACAATAAAATAGAAATAAATCTGTATGATAAAAAATTGTCCCTCAGCAGCTACTTGTTGGAATGAAGGATGTTCTTCCTTACATGGTAAAAACTTGAGGTCAGGCAGTAGAATGCTAAAATTCTGTTTTGTTCATCTAATTACTGTTTACAAACTGTTACTCAAAAGATTTATTTTACTATTCTCTTCTAACTTTAAGTTATTTAATACTTATTTGAAGTAACTCTTTTAACTAAGTTATTTAACAATAATTTAAATTGTATATGGATGTTACTTTAACTAATATAAAGCATTTTTCTACTGCTAAGTTTTAAAGAATGAGGCAAATACAGTAGAGCCTCGATTATCCGACCCAATTGGGGACTGGGGTTGGTCGGATAATTGAAAAGTCGGATAACCGAAAAGTATGAAAAAATCCATTATTAGTGTAGTATATTATTATATCCCATGTAATTAGTATATTAGTATATCGCTATTAACCTACTTCGCGTTGAATTTTCATCGATGTTAAGCCTAACAAAAATTTTTTAAAATAATAATCGTCTCTATTGTATTGTTAAAAGTTAGAAAATTAATCCTCGTTTAAATACTGGCTCCCTTTCATGGTCGATCCAGTGTTGCCAGCTAAAACACGTAAAAATAATATTAAAGTAGCCGAGACATAGCCAAATATTGTAGCGCCACATCACTAGCGGACATTTGAAATTTGCCGACTAGGACGGTCGGTTAACCGAGGTGGCGGTTAATCGGGGGTCGGATAATCGAGGCTCTACTGTAAATCAAAATTGTAATGATTTCTTTAGTTCCAATTGTGTTTGAAAATGACAGAAATTAATGCTATTGTATGTAAATAAAACTGAAATATTGTACAGTTAAACTAGGACTATTGTTTTAAATGTGTATAATTTTTTAATCATAAAAATTCACTTTCCAGTAATGAAAAAAGCAATGAGTTTATAGCTTATTAGGATGACAATTATTGCATTGTTAGCAATACTAAAATACTTATTTCAGGAAGCAAATCTTTAATTGAATAATAAGGAATGTTTTTGTTTTGATCTAGGACAACCTTAGCTTACAATTCATATAAAACAAATTAAATATTTTTATTTTTAAAATTTAATATAAGTTTGAATGGTTTACTATTTTAATGACTCAAACATTAAAATAGTAACGTTATTCAAAAACTAAACAAATGCATTTGAATCTCAGATCACTTAAAACAATCAGTCCTCGTGCAGTACCAAAATATCTTTTGTACTTAAAACCAAAATTGTAACAAAACATAGCTTGGGATAAAAAAAAAGTTATTACTTTAACTTTTCAATCCAATGCTTAATTATATCACATCAATTTCTTGAGTTGAGCAGTACTGATTCTTTTTGGAGGCAGGTGGGAAATAATGTGATATGCTGACATGCAATATTGTACACAAATAAAATCCAGAGTAGACAGAGTGGCTACATTTTCATGTCAGTGGAGACACAGCTAATCACAATGGGGGTATGCCAGATAATTGAGTATCAAGTGTACTGTATTAACAAAATATTTTATAAAAAATGAATGGTAATTAATTAGTATCAAATTTAAATAATTGTAATTATAAACAGAATAATTATAATTATAAAAATATATTTTTAATTTCTCATGTTAAAATATATATTTAATAGAACGACCAAGAACCTGAACAGTTTCGCAAGTTATTTATTGGAGGTCTTGATTATAGAAGCACTGAAGAATCATTAAAAAATCATTTTGAAGAATGGGGAGAAATTGTAGATTGTGTAGTTATGAGAGATCCTAATACTAAAAAATCTAGAGGCTTTGGATTCATTACTTACAAAAAAGCTTATATGGTGGATGATGCTCAAGCAGCAAGGCCCCATAAAATTGATGGAAGAGAAGTTGAACCAAAAAGAGCTGTTCCAAGAGAAGTATGTTAATTTCATAATTTTTAAATTGTAAACTGCAAAGTTTAAATTTTTAATAAAAAATTTTTCTGTTCTTTTATGTTAGATTTAATATGTTATAATATGTAGAGTAAAAATGTTATCTCAATTTCCTGACTATTATCTGCAGTTGCATATAATCCCTAGGTGACATTTTTCATTGACAAAAAGTTTATAATCATATAATTTGCATGAATTTGCATTATCCTTGATTTGCTTTCTTTGTGCATTAGCAATGAAATGATGCAATTTGTATTCTCAAATCTAGGAGAGCAACTAAACAATTCATTTTAAAATAATATAATAAAATTGTAAAATCCAGAATTATAAAATACAGTCTGTTCTTAATTTATGACCTGTTGACTTTATGACCAAAACTAGTGTATTAAAAAAAAATGATTTTTGAATTCAAACATTTGATCACACTCGCTAATGGCAAGGTATAACTATTATTTTTGTATAGTATATGCTAATTAAATATAATGTTGTAACACAATAAATACAAACTATGTAATAACTCAAATTTATTTATGCTTAACTATAATTCAGATTTATGTTGTTAACGAATCAAAAAGACTAAATTTCTGCTGAGCTGCTGAACTCAGAATAGTCATATTAATTTAAAATTTATAATAAAGTTAAAATAAATTAAATAAATGATTCCATATAAAGGTTGTAACACTCCATTTATGACTTTATTCCCTTGGATATAGTAGTCTAAGTCTACCTGATATTTTTGTGAATCTTTATAGTAATAATATATCATAATTAAATTGTTCTTTTAGAAGAACTTTCAGGATTTATTACTGGAACAAATTTTCTCTGTAACAATAGTAAAGAAGATGAGTGTTATCGTGCCATGTCAAGAAGAAATTCGGTCTTATTTGTCCAGGTATTAGAATCACATACTATTGATCATTATTGATTATCTAAGTTATGGCATCTTAAGCTAAGCTTAAAACATATTTAAACAAAGATTGGCTATGAGATGTTTATTAGAGGCCATTAGATGTGTAAATAAATGGATAATTATATTCCTTACATGAGTAGAAGTGAATGTATTGGCACTTCTGTCTTTTGTGTCTTTCTGACACATATTCAACAAAAACATGACATCCAATCATGCTTTATCATATCAAAAAGATTTCTGGACACAAGAAAAAGTAAAGTGATTTTAGGGCAATTTTTCTATGTTGGAAAAATTGATGCAGATTACATAGATACCTAGGTTTTTGTTGATAATCCATCCGAAAACAATCAGCAGAATCTGAAATTGATGAAAACCGAGGCAATTATTTCCATACGAATCAATGTAAATCTAATTCATTCATTCTAGACACTCCAAAATACATACCAAAAACACATTTTATAGAGGAATAGTGTTTAATACTAAAAACAATATGAAATTAATATAAAATGAATATAAAAGACTAATGTAAAAAATAAATGAACATTTAACATGGCAGTTCCCATGATGGAGCTAAAAGGAAAGAAAAGCAATGGAATTGGGCATATTCAAAATCTTGGCATCAATCCAGTGAGATGCTGCAGAAATCATACAACTGCTATTTTCTATAGAACATAAGTGCTAACTGCCAGGAATTTCGGGAGAGAAAAACAATAAAAATGGAGAATGATGTGGGCTTCCACATTACATTAAATTTATTTTTGAACTTATTTAATTAGAACATCTTAATGAAAAATGAATATTTTGAAAAGAGAAATAGGCATAAAGATTTTTTAAATTTCTGTAAGAGTTTTAAATAATTAAATCAATCCTAAGATTACAATTTAACAACTAAAAATATTATATGATGTTGTACGTAAATATACTAGTATATTTAAAATATTCTATTAATGTACTAACTGAATTTTAATTTATTCAGGATTTATTCATCAATAAATAAATTAAATTCAAAATTGTCAATGCAAAATAGCGCTCTTATGAGTCTCGTGGTGCATGCCATCTTGTTTGCTGGTGTATCGAGCTCCGAAAAAGACTTGCAATTTGCTAGCAGCAACTGGGAGTTATCCGAGATTTTGAACAGAGGTGCTGGCTGCATGCTGAGATTTTGTATATGCCTATTGTTTGGCTAGATGTGCAGAATAATGCTCACACAACGAGAAACAACACCACATTGAGAAAGAAAACGTATGGCTTTGCTAAATTAGCAGTGAGGTCTTGTGGGCATACCAATGAAAACAGAGACAAATTTTTGTGAAAATAATCAACAAAAACTGAGGTATTACTGTATATGCAGCAACCTTTAATCTGTATCATCCATGGCAGTCAGAAGATTTTTAACTTATAATCTGCAGATTATAGGCATTTTATGGTAATCATTTCTTGTCTCTATATCTTATTGTTAGAATTAAATGTGTCTGTACTGTTTTAATTTGTGATTTAAAATACAGTGGTACCTCAAGATATGAATTCCCCAGCATACGAAATTTTCAGGATACGACATGAAATTCAAACATATTTTTGCTCCACGATACAAACAAAAACTCACCATACGACATTACATTAGTTCGCAGCGCCATTTTTTATTCACTTCTGTTCATTAGTCTCAGTCCACGTGTTTGCTTCGTCATGAAAGGATCTCGCTTGATAAAGGAAATCTTGAGGTATTATCAGAAAGCGACTGGTTTTATTGAAAAGAAACATTTTGAAAAGGTTCACACTGGCCGTATTGCTGCTCGGTGTAATGACATTTGCCTAAGTAATTTTAGAAACATTTTAAAAAGTAGGCAAAGCCAAACCTCTTTGGATAGATGTTTTACCAAGCAACCTCTATCCAGTGAAAGTGCTGGTGGAAGTGAAGGAAAGAAAGCAAAAAGCAGTGAATAAAACTTAAAAATATATATGTATATAATACAATACTAATTTTTTTATCTTTTCTAAGTTATTTTTAAGTTATTCTTACATTATGTTATGTAAGTTAAGTGTTAGTATCATTTTCCTTCTCCCTCTCTTCTGCCACCAGTTTACACCTCCACTGTTGTCAATCCTCAAAGGTAAAGTGCAAATAAAACTACATTTTTTTAATCAATTATTATTCTATTATGGTTATTTATACATTTACAACTACAAAATGCATTTTTAGTGTTTTCCTTACTATAGTTATTATTTTTTAATGTACTACTTAGCTTTAATTTGAGTGTGTTTTTCGTGTTGGAACGAATTATTTGGTTTTAC